TCCGATTCGAGCTCGCTAGTCCGTCGCTGGTACCGTCTCTAAAATCTGCACAGTGTACCGAGTGCAGTATCAGTACAACCGACCCCATGTACTGGTAAGTGCTGAGCCTAACCTCGACGAAGTAGTGACGAGGCTAAGGCGGGTCACCTACGCTAAAACCTGTACGCAGTCTATAATAATGACAGAATAATTGAAATACGATACAGAATTTAACAGCCAACAGGAAATGATAACCACATCCTCGAAAATAAATCAGTGTTGTCCAAAATTACCAATCTCTACCAGCTCAAATAAAAATACCGGAAAACAATGCAACTCAAGAAATAGAAATATATAGGTTGTTGTGGCGCGCAACCCTATTCCACCAGACAACACATAATCCTCCCTTATTCCACCATAACAATATCAATAATAGTAAATAATATATAAACTTGTTGCGTCTCGCAACCTGATCCCACCGTATATCAGTATCAATATCATAATTCACCCTTATTTCACCATATCAATCCACCCTTATTCCACTTGTTGCGGCGTGCAATTCGATCCCACCGTACATACATATACACCCTTATTCCACCATATCAATCATCCATTACACCTATTGCGGCGTACAACCCGATCCCACCATATCAGTGCCAAATAGTCAATGTACACAGTCAAATCAACAGGCTAAATCACAAGGCCTTTACGATAAATAAATACCAAACTGAACCAAGAAAAGGAACCGTGTTCAATATAGAATCTACACAATTAATACTACACAGCGTGACCCAAACCACCAATTTACTGTTAGAAGGTACAAACAGGTCAAACTAAGCAAATAGCAGGGATTAGGGGAACTATGAAAAGAGCTAACATGGTTCACAGAAGAAGATTTGATTAACACGTGGCAATTAAGCATGGAAAGCATTTAGATCATATAACAATTAAAATAGGAGGGAAAACAATTAAGGAAAAGCGATAAATCAGGGAAAACAGACAATTCGGCGGCATATAAGCACTCGTCACCTTGCATATACGCCGATCACAAGGAATTCACATAACACAAAGTCCGAGGGTTCCTAATTCCCTCAAGTCAAGGTTAGACACAACACTTACCTCGCTCTAAAGGCCACTCAAAGCTCAATCACAGCTTTGCCTTTCGAATACGCCTCCAAACCAACAATATCTAGCAAATTACCAACCAAACGTTTTAAAATAAGCCTTGAACAAAAAGGAATCACCCACGATCAATAAGAATTCAATTAAGGCCATAATTGAAAAAGTCAACACCCGGGCCCGCTTGGTTCAAACCCGAAATTCGGATCAAAACCCGATTACCCATTCACCCCTGAGCCTGGATATGTAATTGGTTTTGGAATCCGACCTCAATTTGAGGTCTAAATCCCCAATTTATCAAATCCCTAGTTCATTCTAGGTTGAAATCTTGTAAAATGAAGTGAAAGATTGAAAGAAACTAGTTTAGAATCACTTACCTATGATTTGGGGAGGAAAAGTCTTTGAAAAATTGCCTTTTGTGTTTTAGGTTTTGAAAATTTGAAGAATGAATGAAAAATCCTGTCTAAGTCCCTTTTCATCAGCTGCAGATGTCGCATTTATGACCTGGGTGCGAAGCTCGCAAATGCGAGAAAGGTATCATAAATGCGAACTTGTCGCATTTCTACTTCTGCCGCAAATGCGAACATATTGTTCGCAAATGCGGAACTGGGATCGCAATTGTGACCCTCTTCTTCGCAAATGCGAAGAACCTCTTCCCCGGACCAACTTCGCAAATGCGAAGATTTTCTCGCAAATACGAGGACTTCCTGGCACAGCTACTCTTCGCATTTGCGATGAGTAGCTCACAAATGCGAAGCTGTCATGCTCGCAAATGCGAACTCTGATCTCGCAATTGCAAGATCAGAGGCCAATTCCCAAAAATTACAGATATTAGCAATGCTTGAGCCCAATTTCACTCCGTAGTCTATCCGAAACTCACTCGAGCCCCCGGGGCTCCAAACCAAACATGCACACAAGTCTAAAAACATCATACAAACTTGCTCGTGCGATCAAATCACCAAAATAACACTTAAAATCACAAATTTAGCACTAAATCAAATAAAATTCTCAAGAACACTTTGAAATTCCTATTTTCACAACCGGACGTCCGAATCACGTCAAACAAACTTCGTTTCTCACCAAATTTCATAGACATGTCTTAAATATTATATTGAACCTGTACCGGGATCCAGAACCAAAATACGGACCCGATACCAACAAGATCAAACATCACTACTTTTCTTAAAAACCAATAATTTTTTTTCAGATTTCAATTTTTAACAAAAATTCATAACTCGGGTTAGGGACCTCCGAATCTGATTTCGGTCATACACCCAGGTCCCATATTTCGATATGGATCCACCGGAATTGTCAAAGCACGAATCCGGGTCCGTTTACCAAAAATATTGACCGAAGTCAACTCAAATGAAGTTTTTAATCAAAAATCTTTATTTTATCTACTGTCAACACAAAAGCTTTTCGGAAATACGCCCGGACTGCACACACAAATCGAGGAGGGATAAAATGAGATTTTTAAGGCCTAGGAATACAGAATTTAGTTTTAAATCATAAGATGACCTGTCGGGTCATCACATTCAAGATAGTTTATAGTAATAAATTCAAGATGACTTTCACTTAATTTTTAATATTTCAAAATTCTATTCCAATTGGAATGTCGCAATCAGCAGCAGCAAATAAATTCCATTTCTCCATTGGACAAGCACGGTTTCATGGAATCGCCAAGCACATAAGCAAGCAAGGATATTCAAGATTGATCTTGATGTTGCATATCAAATTGGAAGGAATAAGTGCATTTAACATGTAGCCTATCATCCCCAAATAATTCTGTTTGACCCAAAATTTAGATATAGGTTTAAACAATTAGATTTTCTAATAGAATGGAGTTAATATTAGCCAATATTAATATTCAAAAGATGTATTAATCGTTTTTGGGAGAAGATAGTACGGGTATAATTTGCGTAGCAATAAATGGTGACACTACTGTTATATTCAATGATCCAAGAATAAGGGAGGTAGCATTAAATAAATAGCAATGATTGGCATTTAAGTAAATAAAAGCATGTGAGTCACCCGAAAAGATTGAGTTTCTTTAGTATTCTTTCTGACAATGATGAATGATTGATGAGCCTTTGAATATTCGGATTCTTCTTGGATCGTGGGGGAAAAGTTAGACAAGAATCTCAAGAAAAAGGTATATTTTATATGTGCGTAATAAAGCAAGATTCTTCGGAGAATGTCATTGTGTTGTCTTACAAATGTCCCCTATAATTATGTCTCTTTCTATTTATACGGGAACATGTTTCCAAAAAACTCTAATAGTACAGATACAGAGAATATCCACTGAAATATTCTCCTTAGAGTCTTATCCTAAAACTAGCCGTTATTACTCTATTTAAGACGAGTGCTCGTCCTCGACCTTGATCTATGTTGACTCCTCGACCCCGCCCTTCATCTCTTGGGAGATCACTTCGACCTTGAGCATGTCTTTTGTCGAAGTCATACTGGTGACACGTGGCAGCCCTTGAAGGCCCTCTTAATGCTGATATAATTTAATCATAACTAAGATAATTTTTGGTCCATACAATTTTTGGTATGTACTCCAACCGAAATGTAGCGAGGAAAATACGGAGACGCTAATTAAGGTAGATGTATAAGTATCGAATTTCCTTTACAAACATAGGCAAAATTCCAGGGAATCAAAATATGCTGGCAATATGGATTCTTTAATGTGTTGGTGGAATCATAATCTTTGTTGATAGTGAATATGATTAACAAAGATATGTGACCTCCTTGGCAGATTAAACATATATATGTTTGTGCATATCAGAGAATATGTTGACATAGGAACCTTCTGTATCGAATATACAGTACAAGTAATAAGGGCTACGACGACATTTTAAAAATGTCATTTTAAGTCACATAAATGTCACAAGTTCCCTTACCGACTTCTTTTTGACACTTAGTTTAAATGTCGGAAATTTCGATGTCGGAAATTTTCCGACATTTATATACATATAGAGAAGGCAATGTGGTGGTAGATCAATTAGCTATTTTTTGGGGGAAATACAAGGACATTTCATATGTTCAATGAAGTTGTTTCTCTTCCTAGCTAGACAAGTTAGAGCTTCTTTGAAGTTAGAACAAGATGGCCTACCTTACTTAAGGATCAAGCTAAAGAAAAACCAGTTCACAGTTGATTATGGCGTCATTTGAATTTGCTATATATGAATAGAAGTCTCACTACAACATTACGTACATATAGCTATGAAGCACCTCGTAGCTAAATATGAAAATTTTCGTGGCTAAACACTTTAGCCACGATATTTTTTTCCGTAGCATTCGTAACTAGAAGTAAGTAGCTAAAAATTAGCTACAAAAGTTAGCTACAAACTTTAACGTTCCATGGCTAAGGATTAATACTTATTGCTACAAGAATTTTTTTGATGTGGCTATATTGATAAAACTATTGTCACGAACAATATATATTTATAGCTAATGATTTTATTCTTTTGCCACGATAAATCAATTTTGTAGCTATCTTTTATACTTTAGCCATAAAGGGATATACTCTGGCAAAAGATGTTAATTTAGCCACAAAATTTAAATATGTAGCAATATTAGATTTGTATTATAATATTTATATTTAGCTACCAACCATAATTTTATAGCAATAAATCATCAAAATATTCATGATTAGATTTTTTTTATTATATTTATTTGGTGACTAGATTTGAATTACATTTTATTTTTATTGATGAAAAATTAATTTATTAGAGATAATAAATTTTTCTGTAATATGTGTTGCTATTTTCTTTTTTTACCTCACTAAATATTTTTAAAATTTTCAAATATTTCATATCCATACATCTTTGATCAATTCATAGAAACACAGAGAAATAAACTTTGAATATCACTTATTTTGCACAAACTGACATCCAAAATAGTTTTAAAAATTAATTCTAAAATATACAATTGTCTATCTAAAGTACATAATATCCACACTTTCAAAGACTAGCTAATACGCAACAAGATAATAAGAAGAACTCAACCTCACATTCTTGTCAACTAATAGTCAACTAATAGGAGTAAAATGCAAACTATGTGCAGGCGGTAATTTAACTATAATCTATAAAATTCAGAAAGGTTACACATCAAAAGAAAAAAAAACTATGTGCTAACTATTTGATATAGAATTGCAGATTTTGTCAACAGATGATCTTCTGCAATCAAGGATAAAGTAATTTCACTCTTTATACCGAGGCTGAATCCTTGATTCTTCTTGCATTCAATAGATTAAAATGTACCCTATAAATTCAAAAGAAATACAAAAGACATTAATACAAAGATGCAATTTGTAAAATGCTAAATGAACGTTCAAAAAGAGAAAAAATATGTCTAGATAACTATTTTACAAGAAACTTTAGCATATAAAAAGAGGGGAAAACGTAAAGCAACAAGATAAGAAAACAAATCTGTATACTTTTCAAAAAAGTTTTGAAAGGATTTTCATCTCAATTTGGTAATATCTTTTCTAGAACTGTGGCTCCTTCCACATTATATTGTAATCTTCAAGGTTCACTCAATATCTATCACAATACAGCACAATATCTATTAATTTGTTAGAATATGAATCCAAAAATTCAAACAAAAAAGGTGTATGGGGATTGAGAAATCCTAAAATACATACATAAATATATCTGGAAAGAGAGAAGGTGACTGGCTATCTAAGCGGTGATTGATCAATTGGTTTGCTCTGTTCATGTAAAGAGAAAAGACATTGTTGAAGAAGAAAATGGCCAAAAGGGGGAAGGGGGGTTGGCGGCTGGAAGGGAAATGCACTAAGTGAGAATGACAGCTTTATTAGGTTTTGTAGATATTTGTTTAGGCCAAACCTTTACGCTCTTTGTTTTGTTATTACTATTACTATATATTTGCACTTTTACCTAATATAAATCCTATAAATGCGAGAAAGGTAAGTATTAACAAATAGTACAAGTCAGCAAAAAAATTATCTATGAAATATGCAAAAGATTAAACACATAATTTACACTAAGTAAAATAAAAAAATCAACTTGCATGAAATAAAGATATTTATAATATATTTTATTCTTTACAACTTTTTTCGTCATATACGATATTGTTAGTTTTGTTATATTCTCCTATTTCAATTGTATTTACTTCTTAATTTTAGAATTTAATTAGATAATGATAGTTATTAAGTTATTAAACTAGCATTAGACCATTAAATAAAAAAACTTTTATATTAATCTAAATTGAGGGTAATTAGATAAATGTACATAAATACAAATATATTGTTTAAATTTGATATTGTTAGATATTCAAAACTAATGAAAATTAGTTACATAATTATTTAAATTGTATTGAAACTTACAAGTATATTTTGTTTTATATGAATTATGATAATGCTAGTTGTTATTGTTATACACTCCTATATTGACCGTATAAAATCTTAAAAAACATTTATGTAAAATCTAATAACATCGAATTATGTAAACATTATAAAATAACAAATAAAAGTCACAAGAGAAAACATGATCTTTATCATATTTAATTCTCAATTCTTATATTCAATGTATATTTAGTTTATGATAATTGAAAACTTATCAAGATAGTAAATCATATATATATATATATATATATATATCTTCATTATGTGAAGACTTGTTTAAAAATATATACTTAAATAAACAAATTATTCTAAGTACCTATAAAAAAATTAGTAAAGTACCATACATACATACGTAAATTCTCTATAAATGTTAGCATATTTTGAATTTTAAACCATACTTATATAATAAACATCCAAAAATAACAAGTTGCAGTAAAATAAAATGTGGCTAGAAGATTGCCATTGTTACGGCAAATCTACTTGTGGCAAAAACTAATAAAATTTTATCATACAAATAAATCCGTAGTTATATCATTTTATCATGACAAATAATTGTAGATATTAATCCAATTATTGACATGACTTTTTAGAACTTGAAGAAAAATTATTTATTTAGTATCATCTTGATTTAAATAATTTATTGCGACTAAAAAATTATTATTGCTATATTAAGTATCAACTCAAGACAAAAACTAATGATTAGCTACGAAATTCTATTATAGTAAGAAATCTGTGGCTGATTTAACCTATACTGCCACAATTTTATATAACTTGAAGCAAAAATATTCATTTAGCTATAATATTTTGTGGCTAAAAGATTACTATAGCTATAGTAAGTGTCAACTCCTGGCAAAAAACAAATGATTAGCTACAAAATTTAATTATAGCAATAAATCTGTGGCTATATCATCTAACTACTGCCACAACTTTTTAGAACTTGAAACAAAAAAATATTCATTTAGCTATAATATTTTATTTCAAATAATTTATTGCGGCTAAAAGGTTACTTGCTACAATAACTATTGGTTTATGGCAAAAACTTATGATTAGCTACAAAATTTTACTTGTAGCAATGAATTTGTAGCTATTTAGGTAGCTATTGCCACGATTGTTATCCATTATAGCTAATTTGAAGAATTAGCTCTACCAACTTAATTTCCGTGGCTAAGAAATTTTATAATTTGGTAAATAGCCATATAATTCTTATTTTTATGGCTATTATTAGGTATTAGCTACAATTTTTAAATTCGTAGCTAAGATTTTGTAGCTATAGATGCATAATGTTGTAGTGTCTACCGAAGAATTTGTATGTAATGTATATGATAGATGTTAGGCGTGCACTATCAACAACGATGTATAGTGTGAGACTATATCTTATTATTCAACTATTCATTAGATTGCTTGAGCACAATCTACATTTTGTATGGGAGGTAAAGGTTTATATTCTCCTTCGATCCGTATAATTATTATTTTTTGCTATATACAGACTGGGGTCTGCTTAAACCCATCATGATGATGGACCTTTGATTAAAATTTAAAAAATATAGGCACAAATTAGTAACACAAAATTCAAAGATCCTCTATAAAGGAAAAATAATATATTTAAAATTTCTGAATTCTCTTTATAATTCTTCGTACGTATTCACTAAAATAACTAGCAATATTCCTATTTATAACAGTATGAATCGTACTTTAGCTAGAAACTAAAAAATATATTCCTATATAGTTCTAATATAAATCTTATTTGGATAAGAATTAAATAAACTAACAAATATCAAATCGTAAATAATATTGATTTCTGATAATAGGTGAATTTGACTATAATCACACCTTAAATAATCACCTTCTTGTGTAGTTTTAATGCTAAAAGTGATAAAAAAATGCTCTTATTAGTGCTTTTCATGATTTGCAGGTGATATATGTATAAGGAAGGCTAAGGAGCAGTTTTGGAGTCAAAACTGATGAAAAAGACGCCAACTGTGAAATTTCCCAAGTGAACCCTGCAAAACAGGCCGAAGATTCAGAGCACTGGGTCCACCGCGGTTCCACCGCGACCGCGGCAGAACCGCGGCGGAAAGCAGCTGCAGAATTTCAAGGATTCCGCGAGAGTGTTTGGCCGCGGTTCTCCCGCGACCGCGGCAGAACCGCGGCAGCGCAGACACTTCAGGGATCAAAGTGTCAATTACGGGATTTTTAGACCTAAACCCTATTTAAAACATTAGACTTCGCCCAAGAGAGGCATGTATTGATTTTTAAGGTTTCTTAGCAAGGAAAACCATTGTGAGAGAGTACTCTAAACATCTTTCTTCTTTTCTTTTGATTTTTATGATGAATTCAATCTTAGTTTATTTTCCCATACCCATGAGTAGCTAAATTCCTTGTCTAAGGTTTTGATGGAACCTATTGGGTGATGAACTTCTTGTTTATGTGAATACAAATTGCCAGTTTAATCTCTATTTGTTCAACTTCGTGTTCGTTGTAGTTGATTGATAGGATCCTCAATTAGCTGTGCCTATTTAGTGTGCATAACTAGAAAAGAGTGCATATTTAGGTTATTGTTGAACAACACCACTCCTAGATTATTAGAGGAATCTATAATTGCGGGTTTAAAGGCGGGATTAGGGATAACGAAGCCTTGGGTGTAATCTAAAGTGAATCGTGCTAAATAAAGTAAGCTAGTGTATCTCGGGAGAGTGCAATAGTAAATGACTGTGATTACTCGGGAGAGATTTACGGTAAGATTAGCGTTCATGATTGATAGAGATGTGTTGGTAAATTTGTATGAGCATAAACAGAAGGGATTCCATCAATAGGGGAAATCATTGCCTTAGCATTTCCTCATAATTGTTTACAACCTCATTAGTTTAGTTTACAACTATTTAGTTACTTGCAAGCTAGTCGTTAAAGAACACTCAACTGAGATTTGAATATTTGGGAAGCTGGTTCTGAAGAATTAGTGGGTCTGAAGATAGTAGTTGATAGGTTAACTCTCTGTGGATTCGACCCTGGGCGTAATACTCGGGTTATATTTGCAACGTCTGCTTAGTCCTTTTTATAAGGCATAGTTGGGCGTGATCAAATTTTGGCGCCGTTGCCGGGGAGTTAACGGAATTATCAATTGCCATTGACAGAAATACAAAGATTCTTGTTGTAGTCAGTTTTCTCTCTACCAACTTTTTCATTGAAAATTTGACGGTTGTTGATCTGGGTGCACATGTGCATGCCTAGAAACTCTACGAGGACTGGAGAACTGCTTGAAGGACTCTCGGACCCCGAGAAGACATTCCGGGCATTGAATCGTTCAAACAAAAGACTTCAACAATCACAACAAATACACCAACTCGAAATTGACATGGGCGACATAAACGACGGGAATGTCAGGAATGAGCAATTGGCACTTCCTGTGCCTGAGGGTGCACTTTATGACTGGGCACAACCCACAGCTGACAATCTGGCCACTGCCATTATTGTGCCTGCGATACAAGCTGAATCGTTCCAGATCACAAATAACATGCTACACTTGTTGCAGAACAAGGGACTTTTTTCTGGGACACAAACAGAAGACCCGCAGCAACACTTAAAGAACTTCCTGTCTATTTGCAAAACTCAAAGGCAACCGAACGTGACTCCGAAAGCAATCAGATTATTATTGTTTCCATTCTCGGTGACAGGAGCTGCTCAGGTTTGGCTAAACTCGCTTCCCATAAACTCTATAGCAACTTGGGATGAGTTGGTCAAGCAATTTCACAACAAGTTCCATCCTCCTAACAAGACCGCTCAACAAATTGATGAGATTGTGAGTTTCAAACAGAAACCAATGGAGACATTACACGAGACATGGGGCAGATTTAAAGGAATGTTGGTTATGTGTCCCCACCATGGTGTTCCAGAGCAGATGTTGGGACAACGGTTTTACATGGGATTGTCAGACAGCTTGAAGAATATAGTTGATGCCTCGGCTGGTGGGGCATTCTTGAGCAAGACTTGGAGAGAAGGTCAGAATTTGCTCGACAAGATGGCGCAGAATTCGGGTTGGACTTCTAGAAATGCACCTATCACTCCAGTGGTGCACTCAGTGCCTCTTGATCCTTCTAATACAATGGTTGAAAACATGGCGACTCTTTTAACGCAAATGAGCATCCTCACCAAAAAGGTGGAGGAATCAGGGCAGAAGCAACAGTTTCACATAGTAGACACTACCAACGGGGGCTTGTGCACATCTTGCATTAGCTAGCCAATTGGTAATCCATGGAATACAGAGCACCAGCACCCTGAAGATATGAACTATGTGGCTAACTATGGGGGTCAGAGGCAAGGTAATCAGAACTGGGGTCAGCAGACTCAGCAGCAGTACAGGCCACCGCAGCCACAGTATAACGCTGGAAACACGGGAGGCATGAGACCCCCCAACAATATGGCACTGTATCCTAGACCACAAGGGTACAACAATCAGCAGCAAGGGTACCAC